GAGTGAGTAAGAGAGTGAGAGAGAAGAGAGAAAGAGAGTTGTTTTTTTTAATTTTTTAATTATTTAAATAGATAAAAAATGAAAGAAAAATAAAAAAATAAATACATAAGGGTATTATAGTAATTTCAGCTTTCAGAGGGACTAAAACCACATATAAACATGGGTAAAAGGACCACAAAGCCAATAAATCAAGGGGTGGACTAAAACTCAGAAAAAATGCATACCACAGGGACTATTTTTGCAATTTTGTCAAAATGTTATTTTTCTCTTTTTGTGAAGATTCATCGATGTATGGACAAGATAGGCAAACTCATCTCTTACAATCACAATTTCCTTAATTTTGTTCAATTTCCTCTCTACACAACATTTCATTTTTTTTATTATATTTTTTGTTGATGATTAACTTAGTGGCTGAAGTTGGTTAGATGATAGATATAAAGAGAGTAGAATAAAAGGGGGAGAGGATTATTGTTAGGTGTCTATAATTTTGATATTTTGATACAGTTTGTATTGGCTCCAACCTTGTGGTTGTGAGAGGGAGATTACCTGAAACAATCAAATTCATTAGAATCATAATTTTTGGTTCTTATCGCTATGTATGTTTGTGGAAAAAACAGATTGTGTGTTACTATTTCTTGCATTTATCTCCTTAGTAGGCATTTTTCATACAATTATGATCTTGGGGATAAATGCAAGAACTAGCAATGTGCTTTCCATATAATTGTTCTTGGGGCTGTTGGATATATAAAGTTTTGTTTGACGATCATATGCATTTCTACGATCCAACGACGATTATTGTCCCTCCTAACAAGTTACCACATGTGATAAATCATGTTGATGTTTTGATTTATATAATCACCTCCTCACCCATGCATAAATAAATAAATTGTTTTCCTTTTGAACATCATTGTTTACAAAGAAAAACCGTCTAACCCCCACAATGTGGGGTTACATTAAACTTTGTTGGATGAAATAGGGTTTATGTTGAAGACTTGGATACCCTTGGATCGTTTGAACACTTTCCGAACTGATATTTCTACCATATGCTTGGGTTGCAAGAAATTCAGCCGAGAATAATCCAAGAGGACACTTACGAATCTACGCACAGAAATTGTAAGCCAAATTGCTAGAAGGATTCTATGTTCGTATGAAGAAAAAGAAAGCTAATGATTTTCGTGTGTCTTTTCAAAGAGAAGAGTCGTTTATATATAATAAATGAGATTAGGGTTTTCCTCTTAGGGTTGGTCGCCATGGGTTGCTTTGGAAACAAGCCAGGAAATCCGAAATTTAATGAGGATTTAGGGTTTCCAAAACTAACAAATTTTGTTAGTTTTACCATAATCACCCTCAAGAATTTGAATTTCTAACTATGTTCCCATATGTAAAATTCGAAGACCTTTTGGGGTGCCCCAGCCAGGGGCTCTACCCCTTGGACCCCGCTAGGGGCGTTGCCCCTAGACC